AGTGGCAATTCTCAGATTGGAAGTGGATATATTTATGAAAATGCAAAAGACAAAACCAAAATAGATTGCCATTTACAATTAGTAAGGGAGCAGATTAAAACTTGGGGGGAAACCTATCAAAATGAGAAGGCTTTAAAATAATCTTTAAAGGTAACTTTTCAAGGTAAGTATATGTTACTTGTTACACAAACAACTTCTGTATTAGTCATCATTACGTCTAAAAATTGCTCTGTAACTACGTGTTCTGCTGATTTTGCAGAAGTAACTGTACAACTGGTAACTTGTTATTTCTAAACTCTGGACTACGGGTGTGTTCCTTAAATAATATCCATCACATAAAATTATGAAGATGAAATTATATATTGATGTCTGAACACTAGCATTTCCTAACTTGCTGTCTTCCAGTCTTGTGGGACTACGTCTCTTATCACTCCCAGACAGCATGACCTAGGCTGGAAGGAGATAATGGAAGTTGTAGTCCCACATGTTTGAATGATACTGGATTAGGAAAAACTGTCTTAACACTACATCTAGAAGGGACATTGATAACAGACTGGATGAATATGAATCAACGGAAACTTTATCCAGACAAGACAGAGGTACTTTTGGTCAGTCAAAAGGCAGATCAGGGAATAGGGTTGCAGCCTGTGCTGGATGGGGTTGCACTCCCTCTGAAAACATAGGTGCTCAGCTTGGGGCTGCTCCTGGACTCATGGCTAAGCCTGGATGTCTAGGTTTCAGCAGTGGCTGGAATCCCCTTTGCATAGTTAAAACTAGTGCACCAGCTGCGCCCATGCCTGGAGAGGTTTGAACTGGCCATGGTGATACATGCCTTAGTTATATCTCAACTGCATGACTGGAATGCACTTTATATGGGACTGCCTGTGGAAAGCATCAGGAAACTTCAGTGGGTCCAAAATGCAGCAGCCAGAAGGCTGACTGAGGCGGATTACAGGGATCACGTTATAACCCTATGTCCCATGTTGCATCTCTGACATATGGTCAGATCTAGGTTTTAACTTACCACCAGATATGCACACAAAGGATAGTTTAGGGTGATGTGGCAAATTGGAATCCTGATGACACTGAGAAGGGGAAAATCTAAACCGAGGTTCTTGTTTCAGTCTTTGGAAGGAACCAAAAATCCCTTAAAAAATAAATGGAAGACTAAAGGGTGTAAGAATATGCTGAAAGTTTTTTTCCTCTTATGCTGACTTAGCACAGCCATCACTTCTCTACATTTAGGGGGGGGGGAAGGACACCCAGAACATCTGCCTCTGCTGTAGGTTTCAAAATGTCTCCAAAGAGACCGCAAGGGTGCATTTCAAATTACTTCTGTGTTTCCCCAAAAATAAGACAGGGTCTTACATAAATTTTTGCTCAAAAATCCAGTAGGGCTTATTTTCAGGGGATATTTTTTTTCATGTACAACAATCTACATTTATTCAAATACAGAAATGTCATCTTCTTCTGGTTGCTACACAATGGTTGAAGACCGGGTTTCATTTAACTAGGGCTTGTTTTTGGAGTAGGGCTTATATTACGAGCATCCTGAAAAATCATACTAGGGCTTGTTTTCAGGTTAGGTCTTATTTTAGGGGAAACAGGGTACCAAAATGACAATGGTTGTGACAGTTCTCGGGTGATAATGTATACCCTGAAGATAAAAAAGTCCAAATTTTAAAATACACCTTTGTAAATTTGATTATTTTAAAAAAAGGTAAGCTTCAGTGCCCAATGAAATCAATTATCCATCTAGATATATATGAATGGCTAAAAATGAATATAATGACTGTTTAAACAGTACTACAGTACATATGTGTGACTTTGAGAGCCATCTAGTGGACAAAAAATACCAGGCCTTCTGACAAATTAAGACTTAGCAGGGAGCGCAGGAACTTAAGCATCTGACTGTGGAGACCGAGGTTTGGAGTTCAGTTCCCCATTGGGCATCCCAGAAGACCCAGGGAAGAGAGAAGGGAATGGTAAACCACTTTTGTATACTCTCTACCTAGAAAACCCTGGAAAGAGCCACCATATCAGAATTGACTTGACAGAGGGAACCCATTGAGGTGTAGTGGATAGAACAGACAAAGACTCAGGAGACTTTGTTCAATGTTTCCACTCTGTCATGAAAATTTACTGGGGCAAACAACTGATTAAAAAAATTCCTTAAATACCTCACCTTAAATCAGTTTTTCACAACAACAAAAGCTAAGAAACTTTTTTTAATGTTATAGTCCTCATGCAAAGTATCTACCACCACCCTTACAATTGCTGGAGGCGCTGCTGTACTTCCAACATGGTGGGCTATTGTGTTTCAAATATTTTCTATAAACAGCTACTGTTGCCACCACTAAGGACAAACCAAGATGTTTTGGTGTACTAAGGTGGACAGGAAAATCGCAACCCCTCCTCCAATACACACATATACTGTACTCTCAAGGCAAGGTGTACCGTACCCAAAATACTCTCCTATGACATAATCACAATTTAAAAGAATTTAAAATTCATAGTCCAATTGGAAGAAAACAATGCATCTTATAGCAGTATTTCCCCTCTTGCAGGTTGTCTTCATGCATCTGGTTACACACCTGATTCTAGAACCAGTGGAAGACTAGACATGCAAAAGGGGAACACTTACAATTACATAAATGAATAGGATTCTGTCCATGGTTGAATGTCTAGCAAAAGGCAAAGAATGAGCAACTCAAACTTGTTGTTGTTGAAACTTTTAAACTGGTTCAGGGATCCTGGGAGCTGAGGTCCAAAAAAGTAACTTTTTGAAGCTCTGGTCAGTATATTTTTAAAATGAGAAAATGTACATCATGGGGACCCAAGAGAGTGCAGAGCAGGTCCATAGGAGACTAGAAGCAGGAGTGGAAGCCTTTGTACCCTGCCAGTGTTTCCCAAAATAAACAAATACACACATGATTCACTTCATCAAAGCAGCAGTTTTTATCAAAGGAAAAGCTCCCCTTGTAGAAAAAATGTTCCTGGCAGAAAGCAATAAAATACCTGCAAAAGGTGGGTGGGGGAACAAAATAGATTCTTCAACTTGTTGGATGATGGTGGGACTTGCATCTACAATTATAAAATCAGCAAAAATATATATTTAAAAATAGTATTCAAATGTGACAAATGAACAATTCAAATGCTCTGATTTCTCTCCCTATCATTTTTCTAAGTCAAATATTTCTCACCCTAGACGTTTCTAATTTTTCTTACTTGCTTCTCAAAAAATCTTTATGCTCCAGTTATGACTTCTCCATTTCCCACCATTTCTAACTTTAATTCTCCAACGCCATTAAAAAACCATGTAATTAATGCAAATCAAAATGAAGACTTTTTCAGTTTCATGAACACAAAGAATTTTCCATCAATGGATGCAACATTTGTCTGTACTTTAATTTTTCCATATAAAACCTACTTGTTCAACCTAAAACCATAGGGGTTGACCATAGGAATAGGCAATTTTTGGGATAGAATTACTCTATTTCATTCATTATATTGTTATTACAGTTATCTTGATTGTTGTCTTATTGATAATTGTTTACTGTATGTTTTTATCATTGTAATTATGTTATGATTGTATTTTAACTGTTTTTGACTATTGGAATGCGCTCTGGTGTAGAGTGTTATATAAATTATCATCATCATCATCATAATAGAACAACTAGTGCATTTACAGTATCTGTGTTTATAAGGAAGTTGTCGATCACTCTCAGAAACAGTCCTCTGGGTGCAATTCAGAATCATTTAGGCATCAAAAACTTTAGCCCAAGAAAGCCCATCCCGTGTGTCATATAACATGATGGTTTTCCCACTTCTTCAGGTAACAGGAAGCTCCAGGGCAGCAACGGTTTGTATTCTATTCAAACACTGGAGACTGAAGGTATTTTTAAGCAACATTTATTTGCAAAGACACAAATAGAACATAATAAGAAACAAACATAACAACCAAGGCACATAGTAAAGAAAGTAAATTGGACTGTTCTTGAGCTACATATGCTGTACTTAACATGCTTTGTCTTGTGACTGGTCAATGGAAGATCAATGGGATGGACTTGATTTGCAAGTCTTTCAGAAACAGATGGAGGTTCCCAATTTCCACAGAATTATCCAGCAGTTTCTAACAAGAATGCTGCATGTATTCAAACAGAGACACTCAAAGAAGTCCTGATCATAATACTGAGGCAACTCTTGTATTCTGCAACTCCGTATTCTGTAATTTCTTTGCAAGGATTCTTCACCCTCTCAAGCTAACACAAGCATTCTTCTGACTCAGCAGGAAATAGTCACACACATACCCTCAATATTCCCCTTGACTCAGTCATAGCAAACCCTTCACACTATTTTTGCACAGCTGGGCTAAGACAGGAAATATTTTTTATCAACTAGAACACAGTGTTATGCCTGAGAAAATAAGTCCCCCCTGACATGCTCTCTTTCTCTTTTATTTATTTATTTATCTGTTCGTTTAAAATATTTTTACCCCACCTTTCTGATTGAAAAAGGACTCAAGGCAACTTACAACAATGAAAGACAATATTTAAAGTTGAAAACAATGAGTAAACAGCAGTCGTTAACTTCATTAAAAATGGTATTTGAAAACTATGAACAATGAGTAAGGAGGCATCTTACATATTAAGGCATAGATCAATTCGTATACAAAAAAATTGAAAAATCAATCAGAAGTGGAAAACATGAGTAGCACTAAAAATCGGGTAAAAGCAGAAATAAATAATAATCTATCTAAAAATCACACACAGGTAGTTGGTTTACTGAGGGAAGGTTTATCTGAAGAGAACAGTCTTTACCTGCTTTTACTTCATATGTCATCACCCCAGCTAGTTCAGTAAAACACCACAAATTCTTCATGAGTAGAAATGAAATAGAATTGGCATTCAGAAGTCATGTGGGCGTGTTTCATGTTTCTCGGGTTTTTAAGAAAATGCTCGTAAGAGGAAAACAAAACCCACTTCCTTTAGTTACCCAATATATACTAGGTGCTTTCATGTGGGGAAATATTAGGCATCAATGATGGGTCTCCTTGTTGGTTCATGGCTCTCAGTTGCCATTTTTCTCCTCAGGATCCCCAGAGGTACGTGTAACATTATACCGATGTTTTCCCTCTCCAATATATTGACTATATGAAATATTGTCTATTGGATATGCAATTACTGACTGTTATATATAATGAATGGTTTACCCATACAGGGTATTTTGTGGATTTTATTTTATTTTATTTGCTTCTTTGTATACTTCTAATATATAGATTATTTTCAGTATATGTAAAGTAAGGGAAACAACAGCCATATCATGGCTGAGAATCTAATGATCAGACACATGCCAGGTTTTAGCCACATGATGGGCTTTGATCCAGATGCTATCAAGACCATCTGGGGTTCACCACATAATCAATATTTTTTAAAAAAATAATCACAATCTTCATAGAATCTTCTGTGGGAAAATCCAATGACTAAGCTATATCACTATTATTCTGTCATTGAGAATATAATATTGAATTGCTACAGGTAAAAAATTTCTGTAATCAAAGAGAGCTAAGATTTCTGCTAGGATTCTGCTTTGGGCAGTGTGTATAAAATGTCATGAGCTCTAACTGCATATCCAGAGCTCATAAAAATGGTTTTTACTATGGCTCCTAGAATTCTCCATACACATATAATTCTCTCTGTGTGCTTGCTAATGACTCCCACTCTTACTTAAGCAGCCCTTTGTATGACAAGTTCAGATTTTGAGAGCACATGTAACATCCCTCTGTATAAGAAGCTGTAGATGGCTAGCTCTAGATTATTCTAAAATCTAGACAAAAAATTTTTAAGGTGACAGCTGTCTGTATCAGTGGTTCCCAACCTTGAGTAACCCACTGCAACATGCAGAAGCCTTCACCACTAGCTGTGCCACCTGGGGCTTCTGGGAGTTGCAGTTCAAGAACCCCTGGATTACCCAAGGTTGGGAATCAGTGCTCTAGACAATTTTTTTTAAGGTGGCAACTGTCTCCTTTTATAGCTTGACTGTCACCTCACTGCTTTGCCCCTCACAGCAGCATTATTCGACATGAGGACTGTGTACTGTGCAATCAACACTTTGTGGGAGTCTGCATTGGTTATATCCCTCAGTCAAGTCATCCTCCCAATGCAGTTGAGCTTTTGGTTTTATTCATCCCAATGAGGACTGTGTACTGTGCAATCAACACTTTGTGGGAGTCTGTATTGGTTATATCCCTCAGTCAAGTCATCCTCCCAATGCACTTGAGCTTTTTTTTTTTTAACTATAACATGAAAGCTGGTTTTATTCATCCCATGAACCATAGATGGCTCCCTCTCCTGCTCTCTTCTGCTCATAAGCAAAGACATTTCTATCTCAAAAGCATTTTACCTGTTTGGTATCTCCTATTTTATGCAAAGGTTTCATTTTATACAGAGCTTGGCAAAGTTCCTTTTTTCGGACTACTCCTCTGGCACCTGTCTTCTGACAGTGTTTGTCTGCCAGGATTCTGAAGCTTTATCCAAAGTTATATTTTGAGGAGGAAAGTTACTTTTTTCAGGCCACAACTCCCAAAAATTCCCCCATCCACCATGGTGACAGATCATGATGGTCAGGAGGCGTTGGGAATTGAAAAAATGAGAAGCAACTGTTTCCAAGCTTTACAGATGACAGTCCTGTCTCTGCAAGACAATTTTCTGTGCAAAGATGTTTAAAAGCTAAGGACTGTCCTTGTTTACATCTAGTTGAAAGATGCATAAGAAGGGACAGTATTCACACATGGTACCTCAATAGCAAACTCAACAAGCGTGCCCGTCATCTGGTCAAAGTCTTCTCTATCATAGTGTGCTTGGTGGTATTTCTATTTAAATTATGGATTATTTCTAAATTAGTTTGTATTTCTAAAGTTTAGCAAATTTGCAAAAATTATACACTTAGCAAAGAGACAAAACTGATGCAAATCGGTACCTAACTTCCTGATATATCACAATTACATGTGCAGTGAGCAATCCTTACTTCTGTGGACCATCAAACTTCATGTTGTTGTTGTTTAGTCATTAAGTCATGTCCAACTCTTCGTGACCCCACGGACCAGAGTACGCCAGACCCTCCTGTCTTCCACTGCCTCCTGGAATTGGGTCAAATTCATGTTGGCAGCTTCAATGACATTGTCCAACCATCTCATCCTCTGTTGTCCCCTTCTCCTCTTGCCTTCACACTTTCCCAACATCAGGGGCTTTTCCAGGGAGTCTTCTCTTCCCATGAGATGGCCAAAGTATTGGAGCCTCAGTTTCAGGATCTGTCCTTCCAGTGAGCACTCAGGCTTGATTTCCTTTAGAATGGATAAGTTTGTTCTCCTTGAAGTCCAGGGGACTCTCAAGAGCCTCCTCC